ATTTCACTGAAATTGAAAGGTCCATAATTTACAGACCCTTTCCAGTGAATGCTACCTTCTTTAAGTATGACATATTTCTTGTTATTTGTTTGATCAATTTGGAATGTATAGTTCCCACTTCTGAAGTCAGTCAACTTCAAACCCCTATCCATTTTCATTCCAGGAAGGAAAGTATCAGTTGGATTCAAAAAACTTTGCCATAGTTTAGCTCCTGATTCATCAACTAAAACCAAGTTCCCTGTATCCAAGAGCTCTACTCTCCTTTTTGAAGCACTAATTTCTACTTCTGTGGAGAAATAAGTGTGTGCATTAGATGAATTCCAGACTTTGAGGTTACCATCTTCGGCAACAGCAACTGAAATATCCTCATTCTTGATTCTTGAAACTGGAATTGGATTACTCAAATTTGCAACCCATACAATGGTTCTGGGACTCAAATTGTAATACCATATTCCAACATATTTATTAAACTCATCTCCGTCATTAGAATAGAATCCCATTTCGAACTTTTTTCCAGCAGATATGAGAGTTTCTCCATTGTCAACTAACTTACTGCTTCCATTGATGGTGTTCCTCGCATCACATTTTAAGTGGCACGAAATAATCAAGAGTGTAAACAGCAATAGGAGAAAATTACTTAATTGTAATTGAGCCAAGAGCATTTTTTTTATGGTATTTTAGTAAACTGGAAAATATTCAAAGGGGTGGGCTCTATTTTACTTCACTTGGAATAGCCTACATGACTGAATGTTTAACTGAGACAGTTCCGCGTTAATTCCGCCAGCGCTTTCCATTGACAAATCTTTGCCAAATTGACCAAGTCAACGATCCTTCTTTTATTTTTCTTTTTTTTCTTCCAAACTTCACTAGCCCGACTATTCCATCCCAAAAGCTTTTAGCTACGTGTTTTTGGGGGTAAAGGTAAACTAATTCTTCAATAATGAAATTTAATTTGAGTATTTCATAGTATGAGTCTATTAATAAGTCATTTAAATACTACTAAAAAATTATTCTCTATGTTCATTTTTAGTTGTCACACTTTTGACTTTCCACGCTTTTTGAGAAAAAATAAATAAAGTATGTGGACAAGTAAAAATAAAATTATATTATTAATACAGTAGACAAGTAAAAGTGAATGGAGGGAGTACTACCATAAAATATCAGTAATTTGTTTGAAGATATTACTTCCTTATTTTTTGTATTTACAGTTTGGACTGACTTTCGCAGAAAAACTAAAAGATATGTCAAAATTTATATTAATGTGGTACTATTTATTGACTGAAAAAATATAAGCCACATACAATGTTTTTATTTTCAAAATGGAGAAATTGACACGAGGAAAAATCTGGGTCTAGTCAACTTTCAAATACAGAATTTTCTCCAACACTTCCTTTTAATTTATTATTATCTCTTCCTTTATTTTCTCCATTGAACACATATTTTCTGAATCATAAATTATTTCCGGAATTAAAAGCAATTTGAAATGTGTCATAGACTAAAATAAAAGTGAAGATAGGTATAGTCAATAAATACTTTTAACATATTAATTGTTAAACCTTAAAATTAGTAAGAACTAGTTTGGCGCTTTAAAAATTTCCTTTAGCTAGATAATAATAAGTCCAAAGATGTTGTAGACTTTTCTCATCTTTTGCTTCAGGTAAATTGATATCCGAAATCCACTCATGACCGAGTAAGGCAAATTCGTGGCGAGTATTTTCTAGCTCAGGTTTTTATTCTCAGGACTCGAACTCAAGATTTTTGTTTAATGTAAAAATATTAACATGAATCCTATCAATAGTGTTGTAGACCTTTCCTTACGCTATAATAAACGACAAGAAAACCTGGGTCAATGGCCACCTATATTTTTCCAAATTTCCCTTTGCTTTGTTCCTTCTGTTTTCTTTATATTTTTAGTTTTCTTTTGTTAAATGTTATTTATTGAAAATGATAGAAAGTATAGCATACCATAGGCAAATATAGTAGAATGATACCATTTGAATGTCAACATTAGGAAACTGCCTGATCATATATCAAGTTTATGCTGAGTTTCACATAGTGAAAATTGGTGAATTCTTACAAAGTCAAACTGAAATTTGAGAAAACAATTATTCACCAGTTAAATACTCAGCTTCTTACCAGACATTATTTAAGTTCTTAGAGTTGGCATCTCTCAGTTTCTTGTTTCAGTACAGAGTGAATTTTACCAAGTCTACTAAACACAATTGTAGCATGACAATATGTCTCGATCGGACATACATATATGAAGTTGGGGACAGCAAAGCTAAACTATTTGACGCGTATGTCTGAAGATTTCTTGCACAAACAATACGTCAAACATCACATAAAGTTTATTATTTCATACGCGAATTTTTGTAACTTCAGTGGACTTAAAGCTGAAGTTAGATTCAAAAGTGGTTAAAATTTATAGGGATTTTTACCTTCTTATACATTATATGAAACTTTATTACCTTTCCTACTCAAGTTTCAATTTAATTCCATAGACATATACAATTTACCAATTATATACACTTTAGGAATTAAATGAGTATCCCTTTATATTAGGAATTGAAAAATGAATCAATTATTTTTCATCCTTATTCTCTCTCTCTCTCTCTCTCCCTCTCTCAGTCTCTCGTTCTGTGTTTTTCCCCCAATTTTTCTTCCTTTGATGTCCTCTATTTTTTATCCTTTCATGTTATATATATTTTTAATGGAATTTATCAATGGATTTTAATCGTTTTACTATAGAGTTTTAACTTGGCAATTTCCTTTCATCACTACAAGAAAAATGCTCAATAGCGAAGGGAAAACTGGTTCCTAAAAGTAAGAAATTGGTCCCAAATGGTCAATAGCGACCAGCTAATCTGGTCCTTATAGCTTCCGCCGCTAAAGGTCATTAAGGACGAGATACAGTGCTAGTCGCTAAAACTATTTCGCGACCAGTTTAAAACTAGAATGGTTTTTAAGGACCATGTTTCTGGTGCCTATTTGCATATTTTAGGGATTAAATTCGTGGTCCTTAAAATGTTTTCGGGACTAGTTTAAATGTGGTCATTAAAACGTTTCGTGACCAGTTAGAAGCTGGCCGTTATATCTTTTCGGAGAAATTTAAAGCTGCCCCTAAGTCGAACAGTTCCGAACTACAAAGCTACAGATTTAGCAACCAAATTTTCCACTCCTAAAAAGAATTTAAGGACTAACAGTCTAGTCCCTAAAGAAATAAGTCACAAGTCCCTAAATCACATTCAATTTGCAACTAAAAAATCTGGAATATTAATATATAGATGATGTTGCTCTCATGAAATAATGCCAAAAATGATCAACATCATTTAGTTGCACCGTACATCAATGATGTAAGCTAGTCCCAATATTGTGTTCATAAAAATTTAGCAAAAAATTACATATCACTAATATCCCTCGATTGTAATGTAAAATTTTCTTGAAACTCCCAGCAAAATGATGGTTAATATGTATGTCATCAAAAATTTGCTTTATCCAAAACCTATAGAAGAAATAAGAAATTTCAGTTAGAAAAAATATATATAACAGTGTAGACGGAACAAAATCAGGAGTAGACAGAAGATTATAAAAAACAAAGAAAAAAGAAGCAACAGAAAGTTAATGGCTAGACACTATTGTTCCTTTTCATTGGTTTGTCATAATTTTGTCACAGCCTTCATACAATAAATCATCACAATAACCTTCACAATTGTTATACGAACGAGCAAATGGTAAGATAGAAAGTACATATGAAAATGTGGCATAGGTCGGAAATGAAAATGGAGCAACACAAAGAAGCAGACTATTCTGTACCTGGCAAGAATTAGTAAGATAGCCATCTATATTGACAAATTCCTTCTTGTAGACACCAATCAGTAAGTCAATGGCTCCCTAGAGGTTCACAATTAAAAGAACATTCAGAATAGAAGCGGATGGGACAAAGGAGATACATTCAATATGAAAACCAATATATAACTCTTTACCAACAAAATTCTAGCTCCAAAAACCAAAGGGCAACTAGTACTGTAGGCTAAATGAGAAAAGCACTAATTAACATCCAAAGAATACAAACATCTGATATCTCCAAAGATGGCACATGGGGAAGAAAATCATTTCCAACAAATAAATACATGAAAACAAAATCATCTATCGGTCGCTCCAGGTCTAGTTTGACAGTTGGATCTGGAATTTGAAGTTCGTATCCCAAATAATCTCTGAGTACCCATACTTTAAGAAACTGAAAAGATCTAGCAGCAGAAATTTAGAAAGATATAGTATGGTATAATATAGTATAGTATAATATAATATAATGTTCAGTATAGATAAGATTGGATATACTGTAAGTAGCAATCTTATGAAGTATTTGCTGGAAATGCATTTATTTGGTACGATACAACCACTACTAAAAAATTGGTCTACGGTAATGGTTGAAAAACCGTTCCCACAGACTATCAAACCGTTGCCATAGGGATATTGGAACGGTTTACAACCCGTTACATCAGCCCGCGTGCCCATAGGTCTATTGGAACAGTTCTTGCAACGGTTTGCATCATCGTTACTATAGATACGTCTATCACAACGGTTTTCCCTTTGTCTGTTGGAACGATTTTTTTTTCAATCGGAACGATTTGAAACCGTTACTATATGGTTTATACAACGGTTCTTAACTGTTACCATATTATTTAAAGCAACACTTATGTAAGCTATTGCTATGGTTATGTTGGATATAGCAACGGTTTCTTTAAGCTATCGTAACGATTATATTGTTTTTGGAACGGTTTATAGATCATTCTGGAACAGTTTATAGGACCTATTGCAATGGTTTATATTGTCTACTGGAATGCCATTTGTGTCCTATTACAACGGTTATGGTAGGTTATTGTATCAGTTCGGTTAAAACTAAAATATAGCACCTGTTATAAATAAATATTTATATTTATATAATAAATTATAATAACACTAAAATTTAAATACATCACAAAATTAAACTATTAATAATATAAAATTATCCATCAAGCAAATAATATCCAAAAAGCAAATGTTCTACTCCTTAGTACATAAGTTTAGTATATTTCAAGAGAGTAAATAAGTTTCAAAAATGTTGGTAACAAAAAATTCCTAGAATATTCTTCTGTAACAATTCAAGATTCATCTCAAGTAAGGTCTAGTTCTTCGTTGTCTTCATCATCTATTTCTTGATCTACTCCACCTACAAAAGAGAGTAAATAAAGTTATTACCCTTCAAAAGAATCCGATCTAAGAATACTCATAGCACAAATTGCCATAAAAAAAGAAAAGAACATGAAAACTCCAGAACTAACAATAGTAGTTGCAAAACAAAAAGAAACTACAAAAGAAGTTCAAGTCTTCCAAGTTGGCCATAAGATGCCAAGCCATGACAGTAGTACCTTTTGAACTAGTATATTTTATTTTGTTTTCCTTATAGCCTATAAAGAATGATGCTAATATATGCTTTAAAGTATATGCTACATTTATATTATATCAATATAATCAGGAGAACAACTGAACAACCATCTCTGTGCTAAAATTAGTTAGATCTGGCTTGTCCATGTTAGTGCAGATATGTATATCATATGTTCTTCACCTACTCAACAATATTATATCTCACCATCTTTATCATTTTCAAAAGCCATTTATAAATTAATTTTAGAGTACAAACTTTTATTCATTTGGTCTATAATTAGTTAAGTTCCTTTTATTGGTCAAGGAAAATAGGTTGGAACATTTGACACTACAACTTTTTTTCTCTCTTTTACGCTACAGATAAACTGGCATAATCATTTCAAAATATAGCATGGCATGAGTGGGCTTCTACTCTCCCTTGCAATCAAAGAAATAGGGTATCCATAACCTTGGTACCATATCCTAGAATTTGTAGCACTGGAAAACAGAGCACAACTATTTGTGTATCTGGTTAGTTAGTCAAATTTCAAAATTATTTATCACCTAGAACTTGATAACACCTCAGATAGTTACCCAACTTATATGAGCTCTCCAGAAGAGAGTCAATTAACTACTCATGCATTTAGTATTCACTTGGTCCCATATGGAAATGCACAAAATCGTACCAAAGGGAGAAGGGGGGGGGAACCAGGAGCACTCGAACATAAAGACATATCATATGCTACTCATAAAGAATGAACATTTTTATTTAAAATAAGGCTCTTGATATGCACAAAATCAGTCAGTTGTTGTTCACTGCTGCACATTAGCAGGAAAAAATGACTGACAGTGACAGCCACATAACCTTCCATTTTCATGAAGAAGGAAAAGATCTAGAACAACTTTTGATATTTAACCATCGGATTTGGCTCACATATATTTGTGGCAGCCACCACGTTCATGCATTATGATATTTGGAGTGTATATAGCATAAAAATGACCAAGAATCTAAAGAAGGCATTATATAGCATAAAATTAACCAACACTGAAACGGAAGCTGTTATAAAAGAAGTTGGATACCAATAATACCGAAATAAGCACATTTATAGGAAGAAAAAAGGATATTACCATATCCACTCTGCCTTGAACAAAAGCAAAATCCCAACCAAGGAAAGAGGAGAAGAAGAAGAAATAGAAGAAGATGTATAACATTTGGTAGTTGACTGTTTACTTGAACAACAACTTGTTGTGCAGAGGAAGCTTCTACAGATGAACGTGCACTGAACCTTAACATGTCAAGATCAAGTCGCAAATCTGGGTTCTGACGCTGAAGTCGTGCGATGACGTTCATTGTAATATTTTGTTCCATAGCATCCTTTTGTTCGTTCAACTTTTCATGTATTCTTTGTTGCATCCTCTCTTCCGACAGATGCTAAAAGCAGTTAAGATAATAGAGGATGAAGAAGCAGGAAAATATGAGCACATGATTTTGAATATAGGCATATCTAGCAATCTAAGGCAGAAACAGTGGGAAAATCTGGAAGAATGACGGTCAAAAGAGCATCAACTCCTAACATGGAAACTATCACAACCAATAAAAGATGGGATCAAGGTTGTTTTATTTGTTAACTTAGCAACTTTCAGAGTCAAATAAGTCTGCAAATATGAATGCCAAGAACAACTCCCTCCTCTTCATACAAACTTGACACCACTTCAAGTATTTTTAACAGCTTACCTTGAGATTTGCACAGAAAGAAAACAGAAGAAGAGTTACACTACACATCAACAAAAAGAGATTTATGTGCATCTACGTGGAGAAAAAATCATCAAAACCTATCAGGATAAATAAATTACAAAATCAATAATGTAGTATGGTTGAATCACAAATTTGATATTCTACCTCAAAATGTAGAACGGCTAAACCAGAAGAGGACGTTGGAGATCCCAAAAAAGAATATACTTAAAAGAATTTCATAATTTTGTTATTTAATCATCTGCTTCCATCCAGTCCCAATCCGTATCATCAAACCCTTCCTCCTCTTCCGATGTTTCTACAATTGTATCATGTGAATTTTGTGCATGAGATGGAATATCTGGAACTAAGAGATGAAGTCCAAGGATTTAACTAAGAGATGAAGTCCAGTAACACAGGAAATTTGACTACACATATTACATATCTTTAACATAATCAGGTCCACAAATCACTTATGAAGAGATGGTCCACAATACAAACACTGAAGTTAGAGAAAAACATAAAGAATAAATAGTCAAAGCAGTACTATAATCTATTTTTCTTTTCTTTTTTTACTTATTTAATCTATAATCTGTTTAGTAAAGGAAGTTGAAGTTTTATAATTAACATGATTGCAAGAGGAGTATTCTAACCAACTGGTTATTCATTAGGATAAACCAAAACTTTTAACAGAGAGGCAAGATTGAAAAAAAAAATCTGCCGCACAATAAGTGGCTCCTGTGATAGACTTAATGGTGCTAGAATATACTTGCTTTCAGTCACAAACACTCATGCGCTTCTTTACATTTTGTAATTTGCTATAACATGATCTTAGATTTGGTCCTTGTTAACAATATATCTCAGCCATTAAAAAATATGGAGAGTAATTAGGCATCCAAAATACTTTTACCACATAGGAATATCCATAAATTAGGTATTAACCCAGCAATTGTATTACTATTTAGAGACATAAAATTAAACAAACAAGAAGAAACCCACAGAAAAACCAAAATAAAACAGCAGTAAATCATTAAAATTTATTCGGATCCAAACCATTTAAATACATTTACTAATGAAAATGAAGAAAGTTTCTAGTGTTTCTACTTAGAAAAGCAGACAACAATACTAACCTTTGACAAAAATTTGGCTTTTTTAATAATAACTTTAAGATGAGGAGCTAAAGTCTCTACCCTTATCGCACCATTTGTAGCTTCTCCAACCCCTACTACTACCAAAATTGCTTCACCTACTAATTTTTATCAAAACACAAAGGGAATCAGTGTATCTTACCATAAACTTATAGAAAAAATTAAGAGTCACCATGAGTATAACCTTTGCAGCTACTGAAAAATTAAGAGTCTCTGCCGGCAGAGTCCAAGCCAGATTCGGTTCGGTACCAAAAAAGCCGCACCTAAAAAGGCTCCGAAAAAGCAAATCCCGGCCAGACCATTATGGTACCCAGGAGCTAAGGCACCGGAATATCTGGATGGGAGTCTCGGCGGCGACTACTTGCTGAGTCCTCTATTTGCTGAGTCCTTACAATTTATTTGCTGGAATTAAGAGACCGTCGATCTACTTGTCGAGTCCTTGCAATTTGGGTATCTTCAGATTTGCTTGGGGGAGTATTCTTTGATAGTTTGATAGTTGAGAGAGTATTTATGAGTGGAAAGAGTTGTTCTTGTTCGATGTGCTCTAGGAAATAGTTCATCTGAGTGGGCTTAATCTATTTTGCTATTAGAAATTTTAAAAAAAAAACAGTTTAGGGTTTGGTTAAAGGAGGGAAAAATGAAAATAAAAATAAAATTGGATAAAGTTAGGAGGGAAATTGAACTGTCTCCATAGACCCATTTTGCAAAGAACCGTATCCACATATTGTCCTACTATTACGGTTACAACAACTGTAGCAGGAGAACACCCTATGGCGACGGTTATTTCATTTATGTAACGGTTTACTTGCAAAAATGTGCCGGTTGATTTGATATCCTATTGGAACGGTTATAACCATTGTTATAGAGGTCTTTAGTAACAGTTATATAACCGTTGGGGAAAATACCGTTCCTATAGGTCCAATTTCTAGTAGTGAAGAAGGAAATAGATAATACCAGATACTTAAATAATTTGATTAGGTTAACAGAAAGGGAAATATGGTAGTTCACATAATTTACATACAACTATATCTTTATCAACATGGAAAAAAGAGAGAAAAATTGACCACATTATCACACAGGTGGACTGTGACCACAGGACAGTTTCTATGTATCACTATATTAAGTTATAGAAACACATAATATAGACACACATGGTTATAGTTAGCTGTCTATTTTTTGTCTTTTACATTTTCAATTTAAATCAAACTTACACGCTTTTTAACCATAACCTTTTCAAAATAATTAGTTCTTCATAGATATAAATGTGATGGACAGTAAGACGTGCATTTCATACTTAATATGGTTGTACTTGAACATTGAAAATTCAAACTTGTAACTTAAAACTGCCATGTTTTTCCTATGTATCCTTCCTCTTCCAAGCTCGTGCCAACCAATTTTTTATTTTCTCTTGTAACCTAGTTGTATCCTTGTCCAGGACGCATACTTGCTTGCTAATCCCATTACTTGAGTTATTGAACTGATAGCTATTAACAGATTATACCGTCATATAACAAGGAAACAATTGGAACCTAAAAGAAATAATAAAGATTATGCAATCCGTTCTCAATTCTCCTTACCGACAAAAGTAAGACACTGGACATATATAAATTTTATTTCATCTACTCCATATGAGAAAAGTAGCAGGAAAACCAGAATGAGGGATTGAAAGAACCATGCTGGAGATATCAACATTCTTTTGCCAATTTTTCACCCTCAGTAACAATGTCCTCCAATAAATTCTCTCTACTTAACAATTACAGGGTATTCGTCAACCCAAACCCTCTTTCCTAAATTTATTTATCTCGTTTTCTCTGTCTAGGTTTTACTTATTAGATCTAAAGGAGAGTGAAAATCATAGATGATTAACTTTGACATCAATTGTAACAAAACTAAAACAGTTCATCTAAATTAATACAAATGGAGAAATTGTCAATTTGTTCTATCAGATTAATTTCAGATGGCAAACTAATTTAAACCAAAGAAACTATTTTTATTCCCTTGAAATTGGTACATCATACATAGAGCGAGTACCTTCCAATTGTTTCTTGTTAATTCAGTAAGCCAACTTTTGACGGCTTTCTCCAAATATTTTCTTAACTGATTATGATTAGGCCAAAGAGATAGAGAATAATTTACTGATGGCAGATAAGATGCCAGTATGAGATCATAACTTCAGAAATCCAAGATTTCATATCCTCTTCTATTCTTTCTATCATATGTATTTGTTGGTTTTTCTTAATTTACAATCACAAGAAACTAGAACCAGTTTGGATTGTGAACATATAATCAGGAAGAGATAAATGTTGTAGATAAATTTATGAAAGGAAACAGAAAGAAAATATTTTTGCAGAAACAGATGGAGCCTCAGCATTCAAATAAAAGTTACTTTGAGTGAGAAAAATTTCCTTCTTGGAACCAACATATATTCAGTTATTTGGATTCACAAACACAGAATAATTTCCCATAGTTCGTGAAATGATAAGAATTTTTCGTAACAGCATAATAGAAGTATAGAACTATATCGAGCAGTTCTTAAAGTTTCAGCTTTCAGAGCAAGACAACCACATCAAATTCCTACAACTTACTGCAGCGGCGGAGCTTGATAACACAATGGTACAACATCGTCATACTAAATCAAATTTCTAACCTAAAACTTCTATTCTGATAATAAGTTCTCCAAGTCTTTGCTGCATCCTTCCCCTTTTTTGAGTGCATACCTGCTTGTTGTCTATATATATATCTTGCCTATTCTGTTGACCTCTACACTTTGATTTATCTTTGCGGACATCCTGCAATCAAGGACAAATTCATTACATAATCAGCATAACTTGTTTCCCCGTTGTGATGACATAATCAGAAGAACGTGAAAAAAAGACCTAAAACAACACATCCAAAATCACACTGACCTCCCTTAAAAGAAAAGTGAACTTCATGTGACGCCAATTCCATCATTATCAAGTTTGCGTCCTGTGGAAGCACCAGGAAATATTGTAAAAAAACACTTGAAAGACGTCATGAAAGAGCACTTCAGCATAAAGCAAAAAAGGGCAAGGTAGGCTACTGTAGAGTATAACAGAAAAGAGAAGGAAAGAAAAGTAGGGTGCCACAAATTACCAAACCATACAAGCAATGCCGTGTATTAGGATCAAATCCTGGAAGATTCCTTTGCAACCGAATATAAGATATTATCTTATGCTCCCCTTTACCAGGCACACTAGCATCAGAGAGAATAACCTAAAAAGATCACGATGTAGAAGAAGCATAATGTATGACGGAAAAAGCATATCTCATAGAGCATGAGAGCAAGTGTCCAGCAGAAGTACACTTACCTTGATTCCCTGCCAACCAGAGTCTACATTCACTTTCAAACTTACATAGTATTGAAGTGCAGATGACAATAATTCCATGAATTTCGTTCCAGGTGTAATAACATTTGAATCCAACTTTTTAGTACTTAAATCTTCCTGTTCTATTTCATCATTCTCTCTTATTCTCCCTGCATCAGAGGCCTAAAAACAATAAAGTTCAATCTGCTTTCGTAGAAAAGGAAAAAAGGAAATAAAGGGAGAAATCCCTAAACTGTCAAAACTTCCAAATTATAGAAAAGAAAAAAAGGAAAGAAAGGGGGAAATCCCTAAACTGTCAAAACTTCCAAATTCCACTTCTAGAATGCACTTCTATATTGTTCGTTTGTAGCCTATATGTCTATTCCTGCTTTTTGTATGTTGAACTCGTAAATTCCCAAATTGGATATTCAAAACTTTTAGGTTTCCCTTTTACCAAATAATTTTAAACCCAATAATCTCACTTTTATTACTCACACAAGAACAATCAATATTCAAAATAATCAATTGCAGAAAACAACTAAAGAAACCAAAAAATTGCAGAACCCTTTTTTCGATTTCTGATTCAATCGGGAAAAAAAATTACGAAGAAGAAAAAAGAAACAGAACAAATTAAAGAGAAAGAAATTAAACTTACTCTTGTTTAGGCGGATAATCCAATGGTATAATTTGTGTAAAGTCTCTTGGAGAGATGAATTTTAGACACTACCATTCTGAGTTCTTTGCAACTTTCTGCATTTTGATGAAGTTTTGTGGCGACCTCTTAGGGATTTTAGCCTAATAGTAATTTGGAGGGATTTTAGGGTGAAAGAGAATTTGGAGGGATTACCGTGAAATTTTTGGAGCTTTCCTTTTTTTTTAAACTTTAGTTTTCGTCAGTTTCACGCCCTTATCCCGATGAAATCAATATTAAAGACCAGGCATTAACTTTTGTATAGACCAGAATAAGTTTGGTTGTGTATTTAAAAGATAAAATTGATTTTTAAAGACCAAAAAAAATTCTCATCCCTATAAGTACACTTTTAAGGACCATATTTAAAACTTGTCGCTAAATGCTGGTCCCTAATAAGGCTTTTACTTGTAGTGCATGTTGCACAATTGGTGTTCAAATTGAAATTGCCAATCAATAAATTTTGAAGGTGTTTGACTCTCCACCATTGATAGCCATTAAAAAGTTTTGAAGCTTTGAATTTGAGTTTGGATTTCAAAAACTATTATTTGTTTGGATTGGTGTTGTTGCAAACAATTGAGAATATTGTTTGGAGTTCATATCTCAATTTTGAGGGTGTTTGGTGAAGATATACTTGATTTTAGCTGAATTTGTAAATAATCCTTATTTAGAGCGGGTAATATATAAAATTAGGATAATTTTAGCAAAAAAAAAAAAATTAAATATTGTATAGAAAGGAAAAATCCCAAATTTATAATGTCGATTATGCCAAAATCGGCCATCTATGCACTTGCCCCCTCAAAATCATGGGTTTCCTCTAGCCTTCTCGGCGATAAGTGGCCCATCATCGCCACACAGTATGTAGGGAGAAGTGCACGGTTAACCACTAATAACACATGTATTTACTTTTAAGCCACTGTTTAAAATGTCTTTAGTCTTTAGCCACTACTTTAATAAACTTTACCTGCCCGGACGAAAACACCTTTCTACTCATAAAGTTCAGGACCAAGTGTCCTTAACTTTTGAACTTGCAACTCTAAGTTCAGGACTTCAAGACTACATGTCCTTGACTTTTAATCTTGCAACTCTAAGTTCAGGACTACATGTCCTTAACTTTTGAACTTGGAACTCGAAGTTCAAGACCACCTGTCCTTAATTTCTAAGCTTGTAACTCTAAGTTAAGGACTACTTATCCTTAACTTTTGAACTTGTAAGTCTAAGTTCAGGACCAAGTGTCCTTAACTTTTGAACTTGTAAGTCTAAGTTCAGGACCTATTGACCGTAACTTTTGAGCTTGTTAGTCTAAGTTCAGGACCAAGTGTCCTTAACTTTTGAACTTGTAACTGTAAGTTCAGGACCAAGTGTCCTTAACTTTTGAGCTTGTTAGTCTAAGTTCAGGACCTATTGTCCTTAACTTTTGAGCTTGTTAGTCTAAGTTCAGGACCTATTGTCCTTAACTTTTGGGCTTCTTAGCCTAAGTTCAGGACCTATTGTCCTTAACTTTTGAGCTTGTTAGTCTAAGTTCAGGACCTAGTGTCCTTAACTTTTGAACTTGTAATTCTAAGTTCAGGACCAAGTGTCCTTAACTTTTGAACTTAGAACTCGAAGTTCATGACCAGGTGTCCTTAACTTTTGAACTTGTAATGAAAAGTTCAAAAGTAGAGAAACTATTACCTGTTATATGCGGGACAGACAGTTATCACCATCTACAAAATAAAAACTTCTAGTTTATCCTTTAAATTAGTTGCCAAGTGTATTTCTCATGCAGGTGCTTCGTTCAAACTATCTTAAGAGGAAATAGTTCTAATCAGTCCTAGAAAGGTACCACCTTCTGCTAATGAATCTTTTCTATCAAGTGTCTTATGCACACACTATCATGTAGCAGTATGCAAAACGAAGATGTTTGTCATCAATGGATATCCTCTGTAAACCCACTAATTATATGAGAAATTATCATCTAGAGTCGGAGACACCTTACAAAAAGAGAATCCAATGGAGTCCACGGCCGTCGCCGTCTCACAAACGGAGGCACAGTTCTTCTCCCTAATATGAAAGAGATAGAAGAAAGGGTAACACAGTCTTTTCATATTAATTTTAATATACTAGTGGCTATTATTGCGAAACATTAAAAATGCTGGATAAAAAGTAAATACCACTTTAAAAAGTGGCTACCCCACACAATTTTTACCAGTATGTATGATCATCCAACTTATGAAATTATTGGATTTAAAAGAGAAATAAAGACCCAATTAAACTTGTTCAAAAAATAAGAATAAGGGGGTAAATAAACGCACGTTTAATTTAAGTGTTCAAACAAGTTTTCTGAACAAGTCTAATGAGGTCTTTATATATTTTGCCAAGTAAAATCAACCGAGAGGTTGTGAGTTCGAGTCTCCCCAAGAGCAAGGTGGGAAGATCTTGGAGGGAAGGATGCCGGAGGTCTATTTGGAAACAGTCTCTCTACCCTAGGGTAGGGGTAAGGTCTGCGTACACACTACCCTCCCCAGACCCCACTAAGTTGGATTATACTGGGTTGTTGTTGTTGTTGTTGTTGTTAAAATCAATAAACTTAATTGTGTATAGGGGTGTACATAGGTCGGGTTGGTTCGGATTTTACGATTACCAAACCAAATCAATTGTGTCGGGTTATTAAATCTAAAGACCAAACCATACCAATAAAACTCGAGTTTTTCAATCTCGGATTTTTTCGGATTTTCGGGTTTTTTCTGGTAAAATCTTCGTAGAACAAAACATATAACTTGTGCTCAAAATATTTCTTTAATCCTAGTAAGATACAACTATATAAAGTATTTTCCAAGAAAATAATACAAAATATGAGATGTGTCATGACATTATCCTAAAATATTCAACAATAAAGACAATAAAATTATGTAATATAAATATTGCTAATTAAAAAACCATAATAAAATAAATATAATCTAAAAGTACTAAGTCATGCTATAGTAAGTAGACTAATAAGGGAGTATTAATTACATGACTAAACGTTAAAGAAAAGATAAAAATAGGTTATACATTTAAATCTAAATTATTGCACAACAAAAAATAGATATTCAATACATTCACGTTCGTAGTATTGACTATTGAATTGAATGTCTTTTGTTAGCATTAGTATTGATTTGATTTTGGTTTGGGCTTTTGTTAGCGTTATTTAATTTACTAATATTGATGGCTATAAAACTTATTGGAACAGTCAAAAGTTCTAAGTCCTACCTTAAAATAATACCTTAAAAAATAAAATTATGAAAATTTTAAGAAATATTTATAAATTACATCACAATTATATATTAAATATATATAAAAAATTTATATACATAATGTCGGGTTGGTTTGGTTTCGGATTGATTTTCTTTAGTTACACCAAACCAAACCAATTATGGTCGGGCTTTTTTCCAACACCAAACCAAATCAAATCAAACCATAGTCGATTTTTTTTCTCGGTTTGACTCGGATTATCGGGTTGGTGCGGTTTGTCGGTTTCCTTTGTACACCCCTATTTGTGTATTACTAAATTCAACTCAATTTTATCCATCTTTCACATAATATCATTTTGTCCAGAATTGTTACCATACCGCATCTGTTTTTCTGTTTGGCAAGCCACAACATTAAAAATGTGAAGTGGCTTTTCCATATCAGCATTAAGAACAATTTTTACCTGAATATAAATTACCTCGGTTGAATTCGTTCCACCCTTTTGCCATGTATTTTATAGTACTCCGTTAATATTGTCACAAAGCTATGCACATTGATCCGTCTGTACTGGTCCCTCCAACATTCTAAAAAAAATTCACATGCTAGTATACAACATTCCCAAAATAATTTTACATAAACAAATGTAGAAGTAGAATAGATGTCTTCGGAAGTTTCCAAAATCAATTATTACGGGAGAGGCACAAGTGCACAACGAATACTCAAAAGTCAAAATCATAGTGCAGCAGGAAACATTGGACGTATTAGCAGGCCCATCTCCATGAGTATTTTGCCAATGATTGCATAAACTGCAAATTCTGAACCACAAGTAAATAAGCTTTTGAATTTTGATCGACATTGGATTTCATAAAAGAAGAGAACTCACCAATGAATCTTCTGCAAACCTTGAAAAAGGAAAAAACGTGTACTTCGACTATTACCTTTTTGAATTCATAGCCAAATGAAGGTGCCTATGGTAAATTTGCTCCACCTTCGTTGCAGTGAATACTACTGCTTGAATAAGTAATTGGAAGGAAAACTTAGAGGAAAATTTATTTCTCTTTAAACATTCAATCCACTTCTTTTCTTAGACCAAACAACAGAATGGTGATTAAAAAAGGAAAGGAACATTCAGTAGTTTCTTCTCTGCCCTTTGTTTAGTTTTCCATGAGAGAAGCAAGCCTGCGGTTTCGGGCAAAACACCGTATAATGTACACGGATCAAAGGTAAAGTCGATATGTCCGAGTGGTTAAGGAGACAGACTTGAAATCTGTTGGGCTTCGCCCGCGCAGGTTCGAACCCTGCTGTCGACGTTAATACGTGTTATTAAGTAATTTTTTTAAAATCCCACAAGTTGAGTTTGGGGAAGGTAAAGTATACGCAGACACTAAATTACTATTTCTGAAATTTGCCCATTGCAATTGTACTCTAAAACAGTTGGACTATTATGACAGAATTTGATTATATATTCAGAGAGTTTTGAACACAAACCGAAACAATTTGCATTCTATAAAATATTCTGCGTTTTTGTCAAAACTTTATTGTTATTTCTTTTGGTCTTTTCATGTTGATACTCAACTTAATCTGACTTTCTGGTAATATGGTTCACAATCAGATGAAATATTCGAGGTGCCTCAGTTATTTTCTTTTGATCTTAAAATGTCAACACATTAAAAAAGAATTCTCTAGTAACAGGACAATTTATATAGTCGTGAAACTTATAAATAGAAAAAGAATCAACCCTTGAAAAGATCATGGAAGAAAGATCAATCCTAATTGTGACCTGTGAGACATTATTGTTTGGAAATTTATTCATGAGTTAGTGGGGAGAAACTGTTAATAAAAGATTTAGCAAGTAAAGATGATTTTTGATAAATTCTTTTAGTTTATGCAATTGTGTAGCTAGTCAATAATAAATTTGAGACTATTAAACTTGAGTTAAGCAGGGTTCTATAGTCAAACTCTTTTGTTCGATGATAAAATTAAATATCATCTTTAAGATA